GAGAGAAGTTATAAGTTGATTTGACACTCTGTAAACACAGACAAAAGAAAGATTTGGATGATAAAGTACTATTATGTAGTATACTGTAAACAAAGGATGAGAAAGGAAATTTATTGAATTTTCTCAATGACATAAACATGATTTTCATGAAATGAAAGTTTTAAATGTAGTGGTTATAGCAGAACAAAAAAAAAAGTCAGGTGTATAGTCTGTAAAATTGAATGCTTAGTAACTTTTCATAAATTATGTATTTCTTACTAAAAGATTATCAAACCTGCACAGACTTCAACTTCAGTGTTTCTTCCAAGAAGGTCATCTTTGGATTGAATACATCCAAAATCTGAATTAATTATTATTAGTACTCAGAAATACATAGTGCATAGGAGGAAATGAATAACAACTTTTCTTGCCACCATTCCAAAATATTTACAACTCTGTGTTTAATTTACTCTAAAAAAATAATAAGCCCAAAATTATTTAGCTCATAATAGAGCCAAATTTTATTGGATTTATTTGTCCAAAGTTTCTAAATGTAATCTTAACATCATAAGTCAAATTTCCTGTAGCTGGTGATAAATCTTCCACAGGAACGAGTTTCAAATGGCTTGCCAGCATCTGTAACAAAGTATTTCTTTTTGAAACACAGGTAGGGCCACAGTCTGTTATGTAATTCTAAAAAAAGAGGTTGCAGGAGCAAGAGAAAGTAGAGTATTTGATTAGCACTCTGAAATTTGTCACTGCTTGTGAAAGTATTTTGCACATATAAAAGTGATCATATACTCTATCACAGTTATTCGGGTCAAAGCCTGAACAGTCCCACAAGAGCAACAGCAGGCTTTTGATTTGAGAGGAAATCCTTATTTTAGGTGAAGGGAAAGAAAAATGTTGTAATGTGATCCAGCTTTGACTAAGATCTGAATGTTAAGAGGTTTTAATACTGGTAATGGCCAAGTACTTTTGGTTATCTTACAGTGCACACCGCAGCATTAAACATGAATATGCAAAGATCTGGCAAAAGCTCCCTGAACTATTAATACCTAGTTCCCTAGTCTAAGCTTATTCCAGCCCACTGATAGCTGAAATGGTCAACATGCTTTCCTGCCACAGCTAAAAATCACCTAACCATGATATTGCCTACAGCTTAACTATCAATACTTGTATTTCAGCAGAAAGGCATTTCTTCTAATCATAATGCTTCCAAGAAATACAAAGTTCCAGGTTAACCTTTTACCCAGGTCAGTTCTCTACAGAATCAAACATTTTCTCATTGCCAGCTGGTGAAATTTCAGTGATTTCTTCAGAAATTTCAACATAACTGCATTTGAGTTGAGTAAGCTTTTTTTCCCCTAGACTTGAATTGCTCAACATAAAGGCACCATAAAATATTTGCTCTCAGATTCCACATAAAGCACTTGCAGAGTTCTTCTGAAGGCTTGGAACTCTCTGGAAGCCAAGCATTCCACAATGGTAAGTCAAAGGTTTAGATTTTTTTTTTTTTTTTTTAATGAGGATACAGATAGTTATTTGCTTTAAAACTACAAAAGAAGGATACTTAAGAGAATCACCTAGTTACGCATTTTTAAATGTGGATATGTTCTATTAAAAAAACCTGCAAGATGCAAAGAAAGTAAGACATCTTTGTGAAGATTATTGTGAATTTTGTTCTTTGTTTTGTAATTCTTTGCAAGAAACCGTACACACATATCTCTTGGTCTTTCACTTGCTCTTATCCTTTTCTCAGAAACGTTTGTGAAAATATTCAGAAGTTTGTGAACATTTAGGACCATGCTTTCAAAACTATAGATGTGAAACAGTTTAAAATATAGTCCCTTTACAATTAAAAGTGTAATACACAGTGTATTCTGTCTGCATTTCTCTTTTGATCTACCAAGTGTGTCCTGTTTCAGCTCTTCAAGCCTCCAAATGTGTTTGCAGAATCTGAATCAGCAGTTAGGTAATGCTAAATAGATAGACAAAGCCCTATGGACCAGTTTTCCTCTAATTTACGCTCATGTAATCCCCAAAGGTACAGCCATCAATTACTACCTTGGATGAGAATCTCAGGAATGACGTAAGTTTTGCGGAAGAGGCAGTAGTTTCTGTAATATATGCAGATTCATAAATAAAAGGAGAAATTATCATCTGCTTCTTTCTCTGCCTAAGCTTTCCCGAGGGCTTGTCTGTACTCAGACAAGACTTAGCTGAACAAAACGATCTGGTATCTCATTCCACTTTCAAAGGCCATTAAATCCAGTTTGGAAGATTCTGTTCTGCAAGATGGCTGGTGGCATCTCCTATATGAGAGAGGGGTTGTTTAGCCTGGAGAAGAGGAGGCTGAGGGGAGACCTTATCACTCGCTACAACTACCTGAAAGGAGGTTGGAGTGAGGTGGGGGTCGGTCTCTTCTCCCTAGTAATCTTAACTGAAAGGGTAGTCAGACACTAGAACAGGCTGCCCAGGGAAGTGGTTGAGTCCCCATCCCTGGAGGTATTTAAAAGGCATGTAGATGTGGTGCTTAGGGACATGGTTTAGTGGTGGACTTGGCAGTGCTAGGTTAACGGTTGGACTTGACAATCTCAAAGGTCTTTTTCAACCTTAACGGTTCTATGACCAAGCGAAAAAAAAAAAAAGATTCCTTGAAATGCCTTGCTTACAGACCACCCAGAAAAACAACTCTGATGTTTAACTAAGCCCTTGGCATCAGTGTAACAGTAATAATCTCTGCCGTTTCTAATAAAGGATACTGTTTCTACCAGTGCTTTCTTACCTGTTTGATACCCTCTGCGCTCAGCCTACTTCTGCTTACATGTGAGCCCTTTACTGCTATCTGTTGCTTAGCTGATGTATCCTTTGGTTGTTACAGGGTAGGGCCAGTTCAGACAGTGATTAGACAACACAGACTTCCCCTTTTATTTCTGTTCAGATTCAGTGGAAGGTCCAGAACTTTGGTCTTTAGAGAGAGGGGCATGCCCAAGTTCATCTGACTGGCATTTCTACGAATAGCAAGATAAGGACAAATGTTGTAGCAAACAAAGGATAAAAATTCACAGAAGACAGCGCAGCAAAAGAAGGATTTTAGTCTTTCCATAAAGACATGGGTGACATCAGTAAGACCTCTGGTAGAACTGGCCTGTGCTGTTGCAAAGACCTGAACCAGTTTGGAGGAAAGCCACCACCAAACTCAAGATGGATGACTAATACACAGCAAGCAATATCCCAAGCATGTTGAGATCCTCTGTGGAAAGCCATGATTCTCTGAGCTCACAAAGCCCCGGACAGCTGCACAGCACAGATAGCCCCACAGATCCATGCCAAATGCACACGGAGCCTCAGCAGAGACCAGCTGCAATATTACATCCTACAACTTCATGGAACAGGAGTTGCTTGGACAATTTTCCTTTGGCCAGGCACTACAGAATAGCACAGTTTAAGAGTTTCAGTCTTCTTAACTTCTCATTCTGGCCATGGTCCTCAGCATGGCCACTGGCTCTATTCTACACCAAAGCCTCAGGAACTCCAAATCACAGAACCACTATGGAAATTAAGCATTACACCCTTCCCAGACCACTCCACAGACCCTCCTCCTCTCTTTTGCTACACCATAAATGTCCCTGAGCCCTGTAAGAAAGCAGCACATCAAGGATTAAAATAGCAGGTGTTTTCCACAGCAGCATAGATTCCCCTTGGCTCACCATCTGCCTAAGTTTCAGGACCTTTCAGTGTCTTGACATTCATGATTCAAGTAACCCAAGGTAGACAGCAGAGCTGCCTAAAAACAAAGCCTCTTACTGCTATTTTAAACCCTAGTTTCAAGTAGCAACAGCCTCTGGAGTTCAGAACAGTAATTTGGAAAGGTCTACTCATTTTATGATCCTTTCATGTTAATCTGCAAGTGCTATCATGAAAATTTAAATAACTTCCTCCACTGCTTCTCAGTCTCTGGCCATTCCTAAACTTTTGCCTTAAGTTATCCAGCTTGAGCAACCCATAAAAATAACCGTGTGCTCTCATGCTTCTCCAGTTCTTCTACCCCAGTATAACTGCCATTACAATGTTACGCAGGCTTTTTTAAAAAAGTCCTGGTTGTTCAGCA